AATTTTACATCCATTTGTTTAGAGCTAATGAAATGATATGGAATTTTAAACTGAATGTCTTGGGCAAATGAAATGAAATGGATTAAATGCGATAGAATGTTCTACCGTTCTACCTTGACATCATTTGACTCTTTTCTTGTATCGTGAAATGCATCCATTTGATTGGATAGTACGCTTGCGAATACAACCAATCAGAGCCCTCGGCATAAAGACTGTTAACAGTATGGCTTAATTTTTACAGACGGTGTTCGTAATAGGTTGACATCTGGAAGATGATCTAGATTATAGTGTAACAGGATTAATTTAAGCCTGGATTATAATATTAAATCCTAGATGATGAGTTGAACTGGAGATTATATAGTCATTCTGTTACCGTTGATTAATCAACCCCATTTCATTTTATTAACCCTATTAGGGGTAGAAAAGTAGGATGTACAACCCCATTTCATTTCATTAACCCTATTAGGAGTAGAAACGTAGAATGTAAAACTCCATTTCATTCCATTAACCCTATTAGGAGTAGAAACGTAGGATGTAAAACCCCATTTCATTTCATTAACCCTATTAGGAATAGAAACGTAGAATGTAAAACTCCATTTCATTTCATTTCTCTAAAATCACCTTTTCCTGAACGAATGCAGAATCAATTTTCTAAAAAAACAAATAATCTTAATTGAAGCGATTTTAAGATAAAGTCCTTGAAATCTCCCACAAAATCCGCTTGAAAGAAATTGCCGAACTTTGGTCTAATCCGAAATCGATTTTCCATGAATACCAATCGCCTGATAGATCCCTTATCAAAACTTAGAGATCAGAGCACTGTGGTTGGTGACGAAACAGTTCTGAATTCATTTATATTCATAGAGCCAAACACTGTTTGAAACAGTCGGGTGAAAGAGTCGTTATCCTTAGCATATACAGTGACTCGAGTTGTGCTTTCGTGTCGTAGAAAATCTGTTCGGGTTGGTGACGAAACAGTTCTAAATTCATTTATATTTATAGAGCATTCGGATTTTAGAGTCACTTTTCTGATCATGTAAGGTGACTCCATTTCTGCTTTCTTGTCGTAGGAAATCTGGTTTTAGAGTCATTTTTCGGATCGATAGTGAAACAAGTCTTATACGACCAAACATTATTTAAAAAATCGGATTCTAGAGTCACGTACTGATATGATACAAAGATTCGTACATTTTGGACAAAACTCGACAAGAGCATTTTTTCTGGTCGACGAGATGTCCGACTTCATGTAGTCTGTTTTTTTTAGGTGATAGGGGTTGGAAACCGACATCGAGTCGACTTTCGGAACCACTGGCAGTGACGTTAAAAACTGTTCTTACCTTGAAGAGGATTCGAACCCTCGGCACCTAATTGCAGCAACTAACCGAGCTATTCCAGTGCCACTGCTTCAGATCACAATTTCATTTCTGAGAAATCGTCATACCTTCGTACCAGAGACAAAGGACAGTTTCGAACGTACTTCCAGGAATATAATCGAAGAGTTTAGTTGCCCATTGATTAAGCAGGAATCAAATAGTCTTTAATTCCTTCTCATAGATCGTATTGGACAGTTCCAGACGCCAAGAATCTCCAGGAATCTCCCATCTGCCTGCAAGTGTCGGTGAAAATTAGTTATTTGTCTTTAGGCTGACTTTGAGACATTCGGTTGACTTTGAAACTTCTTAAAAGGTACTGTGATTTTTTATCTTTCATAATTTCTAAAAGTTTTTTTAGTTTTCTTTTATATTTTCAAAGGTTTTTGGAATATTTTTTTTTTTAATGTGACGTACCTTTTGAGTATTTTTACTTTTATTTGATCAGTTTTAAGTTTAAAGTTAAAATTTAAATTTATTCGAGGGTAACAACACAACTTTAAAAAAATTTCAATTGTATTTTGTAAAATTAGGTAGACAATATTATATTTGTAGAATAGTTTATTTTTACTGAAGCCAATTTAAGTTTTCAGTGAGATTTAACTAAAAAGTAGGATTTTTTTTTGTTCATATTGCACGGCTAGTTTCATATTTCATCACAGACATTTTGTAACAGCTTAAAGATGGATTTCCTTATTTTTTTAGTGTCAAATTAAGCAAACTATTTGATTAATTGGTGTTTCTAATGAATAATCATGTATTCTTAATCATATCATTATGTTCTTATTGCATATAATTATGAGATTTAACCAATCATAAATTTCCATGTATGTACAGTCTGGATAAACAAAAAAAAGATTTTTTGACCTTTCTTGATCGTCACTCACTGGAATTCTGCTGGTAATTCTCATCTAATTTAGCTAATTATGAATTAATTATGGACATGTGAGACAAACTGGTATTTTTCTAAGTTATTAGAACACCTCTACTTTCTATTCATATAAATATTAGCATAAAAGAAAATAAGGGAACCCATCTTTAAGCTTTCCTTAAAATATTACAAATTATTCAATTACAGTGGCAATATGCACATAGCCTTGAAATTTGGAGAAGAGTAATATAGGCAAACCATATCGACCAACTTCCGAATGCACTGGCGATGGCATTGGGATTCTTTCTTGAATTTACGACTCATTATCATATGGCCGACAATTCATATCGTTATCCTACTTAGATAATGCTTGTTTTCTTTTGTTTTTTGGTTGATTTCGTGTTTTCTAAGTAAATTTGGGAGCTTACACATCTTGGTCTAGGTTTAGTACCTAATGCTGTAGTATCCATTCCCAGCACGGCCCGGGGTTAAAATGTGAGGAACACTAATGAAGTCAGGGATAATTGGGGTGAGGAAGACAATTCAATTAACAATCAAATTAATCAACAATCGAACGTGGAATATTTAAACCAATTTCAATCAAGTTCAAACCAAGTAAAATAAAGCCGGACTTAAGAAACGTGCATTTAAAATTAGATCACATCAATTTAATCAAAATGTACTTCGGTTCGCCCCATTTACATTATCAAGTTTTTGCTTCGTTACGTAACCCAATACAGTAGGGGACTTTTGCCAGGACGGCGACATCAGTCTACTCGAACCTTTTACGGATCTTTAAGGGGGTAACATGGCTGAAAAATTCGAAGGTATAATGTCGACCTATGTCAGGATTGAATCATTGACCAACTTCACAATGTCAAGCTAACAGACTCCGTCTTATACCTTTATACTGCTATTGTCACCATTCTTCTATCACAAAAGTTTGTAAATGCAGCGATTCGGTTGGATTGTACGTTAGCGAATACAGCCAATCACAATCAGAGTCCTCGACAAAAAACACTGTGAAGATGACCTTGGGCAGATTAGCGAGAAAGCATCAAACTCACTGAGCCACTGCGGCTCCATACGAAAGTGCGATGAAAACAGATCTGCATTTCAATTAGATGGGAATCCGCTAAAGTATTCAAATAACACGTTGCGATTAGAGAGATTACTAATAGCATCACGCAAGGTAGATAATAATATGGTATCAATGACACCCAACTAAGTTAAACATATCATTCTGTGTACAGAACTACATCATTTCATGGTTTTAACTCGCTTAGATCAATCACCTCATAACTCATACATATTCATAAGGTAGTCCGAAAGACACCGACAATAGCCTGTTTTGATATGTTAGACCGAAAAATTTAGGCGCAAGTATTTATGCCATCCCCCTCCCCCCCCTCCTGAAATTTGGCTGGCCCTATGTTTTCCACCCCACCCCTCCCTTCTAGTTTCAAATTTCAAACGATTGAGTTCTTAAGTGTAAGTGCCTGATGCTATTGGCCCCCACCACCATTATGTGCCCCCAACTCGGCCCCTCCCAGTAATGCTTTATAAAAACGCCACTGGGGGAAATACACCCTGCAGAGTTTCGGGCTAATCCAGGAAACTAACAAGCGTCTAATCATGCTGACATTTGACAAGACAGGGGGTATGAATAAATACAAGATGAATTATACAATACAATAACTCAATTATTATTTGATTGACAGGTCTGAATATTCTTAGACTTTGATTTATTCAATCCTTTACATTGTTTGGAAGAGATCGAAGGGTGTTTTACTTAACGACCTCTACTATGGGTAATGAGAGAAATTTCTCCTTATGCGTACAGCATGGTGTCGCTTTCTGAATTGCAGAAGGGAATAACCCTACCCATACTGGGTGAACTCAGATGTGAGCAATCAGGAAAAATTTGGACTTATTGTTACGTAATTGTAGGAAAATGAAAGGCCATACCCCTCGACTGTTTGTGGTTACCGTGTAGGGCACATGGACACCCCCTAAATTTCTTAGCATATTGCATAGGAAAAGAATTGCCTGTTAGACCCCCATCAAAGTTATGTGGTCCCTACTCTGTCCCTACCAACACATTCCCAGAAACGCCATTGTTGTTTGGCCCTACCGTAACGACATCTTAACAGTCTATCACGTATTTGGATCTGGTTTTGTGCGACGAAATCACACCATTCGTCCCCTTGTGATACACATTTGCTCTGTCTTTTTCAGGTCTAAATTTTGAAACCAAAAGAACCACCAAAGCATAAAGATGTTGTCGAGCATTGTTATCTCCAGCGTATTGGTCCTATATTTGGTCAAATACGGTATCTGTGAAGATTTGGTTCCCCAGTCAGACGAGCCCGACATTGTATACGTTAGTATTCCCTCTCTCTCTACTCTCAACGTGGACCATTATACCTGGGCCCCGTGTTCTAGAGATCCCTCGTCCGATGGAAATAAAAAAAGAGAAGATTAATGCTGCTGGTCTGGAAAAATTTCCATTGTTGCGCACTGCGTTTAGTCCACTCAGGTTTATCAATTTGGCTATACTTTCAGAGAGTTCACATTACTGAAAATGCTTTTGGAATTTGGGTTCGCTAACTTGGCATCTCTAACTTAGTAGTTTTGGTATTTGTTTTTGTCAACTCTTTCAGAAAGTCCGCATAGCTAATAACAGTTTTAGTATTTGAAATAGTCAACTTGACATCTCTTCAAGTGAGTCCGCTGATGATGCTATTTTTATTTTTCAGAGGCCAGGATCCAGCTCGCTATGTCCACCACGAGCAGTATGTGCTGATGACTTCACCTATAGAAGAAGAATCAACGGCGAAACCGTTCTGATGAAGAGGCGAATCTTCAACTGTCGCTGTGACCTCACTTCCCGAGAGGTCTGCCCCATTTCTGACGAGACCATGCTCTACGCAAGCGCAATCAACAAGTAAGTCAACCGACATTTCAGTCGACAACTTTCGGCAGTTTCCGTGAAGCTGAAGCTACTATACAAACGGTCTATACCGTGAAAGTTCTGCTCGCACTCTGCAACAGATTCAGCTTTACGGAAACTGCCGAGAATTGCCGAATGGTCATTCAAGAAGATTTCGAAAAGATTTTACCAATATACGCTATATGTCGCTATTGGTCGTTTCCATTTCATTTTCTTTTTTCTTTCAGGCAGTATTTGTGTCAACCAATTTCCACCTTACCAAGATGTAACGAAGAAGAAAATCCTACAAGAGTTGCCGAGGAAATGGAACAAAATTCACCATCGTTCGAGTACAGAAACTTCTATAGGGTACATACCTTAAAGAGTCTTCTACGGTGGTTTCATTACATTGGTAGATAGAACAACCGATTGTAGAGCAGTCGACTCAAGCGTTAGATTTTGCCGTCATTTACGTAGTTAAGTTGAACCATTGATGGTTGCCGTAGGTTCTGATAATGGTCGGCGTGTGAAAGCCTTATTTCCTTGAATAAGTTATTATTTCATACCAAAAAAATAAATCTGGATAGCTGAAAACTATCTGTCGTCACTTCCGCCATTCTTGGCTATACATTCCCAAAAGCTTAAATATCTTTTCAATTTATTTTCAGATCAACTGTGTCTGCCCTCGTCATTTTACCCCAATGCCCCAAGTTCTTGGCACATTACAGAGGGCAACCAAATATCACCGAACAGAGATGGATATGGTCCATTTTAGAATTTTCCAGCAATATATCTGTGCAGTTTAAGGTAGGCGTAAGGTGCGAATAGACGAGGAAGGCCCTTTTATGCGGTGTACGTTGCAGAGTATTTTGGGTGGATTATCGATACAGTAAAATAGAAGAACTATATGAACATCATCAGTCATGTTTTTGAAAAACAGTGCTGACGTTATAAGGTCTTAGATTATTATTATCGACGGGGGTCGATCAAATGAAAGTACGGTTCGTTCACAGAACTGTAATAGTTCTGTGGTACGTCTGCAGGTTTCGAACTTCTGAGCCACAAGAAAAGATGGCAAAAGTTGGAATTCAAGTATTTCCCGTTACCTATAGAATCGCAAAATAAAGTATCTACGACGAGCATATGTCGCAGCTGTGCATAACAAAATTAGGGCTAGATGAAAGAGACTTTATATACCTCAGAGGACATATCCACGAAAGGAAATAACATTTTTCAGTACACCCGATTTATGTTGTATATTTCAGCTGAAAACTGATGCATCTAAGCAGTAATAAGTATGAAGAGTTCTCCCCCGTGTCATAAAAAAGCGCGGGAAAAACGAAAGTAGTTAAAATCCAGACGAGAAGTGCAATAACATGCTGTTTATAATAATATCGTTTAAATTATATCAATTACAATTTCAAGTTCTATATAAATTCTCTTTCTAGTCAATAAAATTTTCTTCTTAATCGATATTTTCCTTTGCCTAGGCTCTAGGCTACCTTTGGTTAGATATGACAAACGTTAAAAGAAACCGAACTGACAGCCATGTCTTTCTTAATCATAAGGTGGAGGAAGGGGCATGATAAGTGTGGCTCAATTAGCCAGGCATTTCCTTTGTAAATAGATTAGAAACATTAGTGTTGGGGTGTGATAAAAGCTGCTGTAAACATTGATCCACAAACACTTTAATGTGTGACTCAGCGTCACAGACAAAACACTTGTTACCGGAGCGTCACGATAAGATGCGCACTCTATTCGCAATTGTACGTTATGTGGCAATATGCACTTATAAGACTTCACTGAGTTGGTAGTGTGACAACTGTTGTATGCAAGGATGAGAATCGAAGTGTCTGTTTTCGGATCAAGTTATATATCATGGAATCTATGAAACTGACGGATGGCACCTGCCTAAATGGCTCGACAAATCTGTCCCACATCTGTTCATCAGACGTGATAAACGAATGACACGTGACGATATCACATCCCCATATCATGTCAGAGGAACGGGTAGGGGTAGATTTGTCTGGCTAATGCGCAAGTTATCATTTAGAGATAAATAGTTGTAAATGTACCAATTTATGCCTCGATTCGGACAATAAATAAAAATTTCGCTTTTGTCTGTAGCAACTTATTTGGTTACGTCCCCTGAATAATTTTCACCCTGGAAGATCGAGATCAAGAGTTAGTTCCCTTTGTAAATAAAGACGAAAATGAAAGTAGCGTTGATGTTCACTTGAATTTTGTTTATTTGTTTGTGAATTTATTCCTATTAAAATGACAGTGCACGTTGTGACGATTGTTTACAGTGGAAATAAACATTGTTTTCTGACGGTGGAGCAGAAACAGTCGTCTTCAGTCACCCGAGATGCCAGCGACCAGGTATTTCGAAATTTCTTTTTTTTTTTTCCTTTTTTTTCCCTGTTTTTTTCCCTTTTTTTTTTTGCAGTGGCTTCAATGCATTGATAATGAAACGAAACTGTGTAAGCTCTGACAGAAAGCCATGGCTACTTTTGCCCCTCTTCCCTTCTTCTGTAACAAAATGTTTGACTATTTCTAATAATTGATTTGTATATTACAGATTCCAGTATATAAATGTGAATATGATGATGGATGTTTGGGATATTTTAGTTTCAGTGGACATCAACCTTTATTAATCACGCAGGAAACGGTTCATCTGAATGGAGTCTTTGCTCAAAAACTCGGTATTAAGGATGATGAAGAGGTGAGAGCCCTTTTTCCATAACATTTCTTTAAAAAAGTCCAAGCTTTGGTAACTTTGTTAAGGGAACAGATGTGCCATTTTGAGGGGTTGATTTGAGTCTTGAAAATATGTAAATAGTCTTCAGAAGTACTCGAAATGTATGAAAATCACATAATTTCTTCGAAAATGTCTCCACCTAGGAATTTTCCTCACTATTTAGGGATAATTCAGGACACACATGGATTTGAAGTCTAAGATTTCGACAGTGAGCTGTGAACACTATTACTGATTAACTCAGCTAAAAAATTCCAGTTTCTGAGACTTAAAGTATGATTGATCAAAAAAAATGGCTCACCTGTCCTTTTAATATGAAGTTTTTTTTGTAGGTTGTGTTGCAACAGATTTCGTCAGTAATGTCCGCTACACAAATACAGGTGGAGCCACTTTCAACTGATGATTGGGAAATTGTCGTAAGTTTTTATTTCATAAGAATAACAGTCGAAATTTACAAACGCTTGATGCGTCACTAAAACTTGACCCCATGCAAATTGTCAAATTGTAAAGCTAGGCCCACTATTATCTAGCACAGAGCAGGAAGAGATGGTGGGCAATTCTTATTTGGTTTTAGGTTGAATAATGGCAATTGAAATTATACAAATTTTTTTGTAAATGAGCTCTCCTAAATACAAAGAGTACTTATTACAAAAAATGGCATGTGGAAGAGTTCAATAATGGAATTGAGGGATGTCAATAAGTTACTGGCACACTATTTCCAACTTTGATAGGAATACAAATATTTACTAAGTATTTTGTTTTTAGCTATGTGATATTGATTTAATTGTACATAAACCTGATGCTGAATTATCATTCTTTATAGAGATTTGTCTAGAATCTGACAATGTTAGAATAAACCTTGGAAAAATTCTTTATGAAATAAGGAATTTTTTTTTTATATACAGGAATCAAATGCAGCAGCAATAGAAAACCGTCTTTTAGATCAAGTACGAGTAGTCTGGGTTGGTCAAGTCTTACCAGTCTGGGTGGCCAAGTCTCTCTGTTTATTCATTCGTGTAGGTAAGTAGGTTTAGAAAGAAAGAACTATTCTTAAAAAAAGAATAACAACTTAGGTTCTTTCTCCCAGCTGGTCCTAGGCCAAACCTCTTGGCATTGATCTTTCCTGGATTATCCTTTCCCATTGGGTCAACAGGAAAATGTCTTTTGCATAGGTTAGTGATGTCGAGTTGACAAACTTAAATACCAACATCATAAGCTAAGTGGAATGCACAGCGTGATGCCAAGTTGACAAAGCCAATCCCAGAAAGGCATATGTTCGAATTTTTTCTCTTTTTGCAGAAAAAATCAATCCTGAAAGTGAATGTCTTATTTTAACCAACGATACAGAAGTGATTGTTTCACCAAAAGTTTTGGACTCGAGCCAAGGAAAGACAAGTTTTAGCCGCCATGTTCCTAGTCGTAGCCATAGCAACCCTGATTTAAAATCTCTCGATACTCTTTCACCTCCTGAAAATTCACCAGAACGCCTTTCTGCAGGAAGTTCTGGTTCTTCCCGCTCAAAATCACCGTTGCCTAGGAGACGATCCAGTGGTAACCGAACGACCAGACACAAATCTAATGCCAGTGATAGTGAGTTACATCAAAAACGGAATCGATTACGAAGACAGTCGTCATTGGTGGAGAAAATGATTGGATTTAATTGGTTGAATAAATGGATTTCTTCTTACATTCACCAAGATGCTTCTATTGAGACTTGTGATTCTGAGCAATTTGTGATTGAAGAAAAACATTTCGTGTTTCGTGTTCAACCATTGAAATTCGAATGTGACCCTGAAGAAATTAACATGTTTATATTAGAAGAGCCGTTGCCAAGGTATATGATACCAGACACCAAAAGTCTGGATTTAACTGCTTTGGAGCAGACACCAACTTCATCTGAATTACCTCCCTTAGAACTGTTTCAACCTTCCATTATTTTTGTGAATTATAAAGACATTTCTAAATTTCTTGGCTGCGCTGCTGTTAAAGGGATTCCATCTGTTTTTTACGCAGAAATTAAAAAGCTGCCGTCTCCAAAAGAAGTTGGGGAGCAGACGAAAAATGGGTTGGTTGCGACTAGTCCAGAACCAGGTTTAAAAAAAATGTCACCTAAAAAAAAAGAAATTAAAGAAGAGGGAAGTGAACTCTGTCCAATCGTCAGAGTCGTTACTATAAATAAATCAACAGATTTGACAGAGGAAAGATGGCAGCCATGTGCAGAGCGAGTTTTAAGCGAGCAGGGTATTTTGAGAGGCCATGCTTTAGTGCCTGATTTATTGCGGCGTCTGCTAAAACTTGATGTGACTGGAAGAATGTGGCTACAAACTGTCAAGAAACCTCCAATGAAAGCTGAAAGTCTGCAGATTTATCTTCTGTCTGTAGTGGTAAGATTGATACTATACACTTTATGATTCGATTCTCAAAATGACCTTTTGACCTAACTCGATGATGTCGGCTTTAATCTATAAAAGTTCTACCCTTTCCAGTACTGGCACTTTGTGACAAGGTGTTTATCAGGTAAGGTCCAAAGGCTAATTTGACAATCATTCAAGAGGGCTGATCCTAAAGTGGCTATATTTTTTTCAAAATACGGAACGAATAGGTCTAATTTTAATTAAGAGTCGCACAAATCGTAACATTTGTTTTTCTTATTTTCAGCCCAGAAGAGTGAATGATAGTATTATTATAAGTGCATTTAGAAAGTTTATACAGATCATAACAGTTGACCATCCCATGGTTGTCTACCCTGGCTTACTCGTTAGATACATGATCTTTCATGGTACAAACTATTTTTGAAAGGGACACGTTTGCCAATCAGTACAACCAATCGTACCTTAGTCTCAGAAACAGAATTTTTTAGCTAAGCCAATCAGTAATAGTGTTCGCAGCTCGTCGAAATTTGAGCCTTCAAATCCATGTGTGTACGGAATTATCTGCGTTTGACAGTTAAAATGAGGACTCGTCGTTTCTTGAGACTCTGCCACGTATAGAAATAGAAAAGTGAAATTTCTAGTTTCGTTCTAAATATATTTGAAGAGATTATGCAATTTCGTGCAGATCTAGTACTTTATGTTATGTTTTTCTATTATAGGCTTACATGTAGAAGTGCAAATAGTTTTTACAGAGGTGGCAAATAGCCACAGCCATCAGCATAAATACATCTTACTTAATGCTGATACTATAAATAGCATGACCTTGACCTTGGAGAGGTCCGTCACGGATGAGGCTATGGGAGTTGTCTGCCCCATGGTCTTATATACCCAAGTTGCTGATTTTGATCCTGTTGCACCGAATGTTAGGCTACAAAATTTAGGGTAAGTTTGGAAGTTTACTGAGTTTACATAAAGCAAAATTTTAGCTGGTTTCATGGAATCCTTCATCCCCCTGTAGTTTACAAAATTTTTCACAGCCACAGCTTTCGAGGTTCGGCCTGATATTGGATTTTAACCCCCATTTCCCAACTGACTAGCTCACCTTACATTTTACTTTTAGTGCTGTGGATGAGTTAGCAAAAATTGGAATCCACCATCTTGAAACTTGTCTGCTACATCGACCATTAGCAGAAGATATCTTCTCTTCCTGTTTGGGATTGAATCATGGGATATTGTTGATATCTGGACCAAGAGGAAGTGGGAAGACATCGTTGGCAAGGGCTTTGCTGCGACGTATGGCTGAAATACCAAATATGGTGTTCACAAAAGACATAGATTGTAAACCTCTCAGAGGTATGTTGTTTGAGGTTTTTAGATGCATACAAGGTAGAGTGTTGTGGGATGATCAGGTACCAGGAAAAACAATAGGGTGTAAAACTCCATTTCTTTTGAAAAGAATAGAGCACTAGGATATAAATCCCCATTTAATTTAATTCCAATACTTTTCTCGTAGATTTTCCTGACCAGAAAATGGGGATGTAATACTCCATTTCATTTCAAATTTTTCCAATTTATAGGTAAAAGGGTAGACAACATACAGAAGATTATGGAATCAGTTTTTGATGAAGCAGCGTGGCGCCAACCGTCAGTGGTGCTGTTAGAAGACCTCCATATTATTGCTGGTGCTGCTACCAGTCCTGATGCAGAGGTGACTGGGGAGGCTCTATATGCTGCCAGAGTGGCTGAAGGTAGGCTTGATATATACCGTACATTTGCATGTATAATGCGCATATTATGCCCTTATTTTTTTTGGATTTAATAGTATGTCACAGTTCAAGGCCCTACAATTTTTGAAAATTTTTGGCTTATACTTTCTCCATTCATTCATTTTTCATTTTGTTTTCTTTTTGTTTGTAGTTATCACCAGTATAGTAAAATACCAAATTAAAAACAATGCTCGCATAGGTGTCATAGCAACCAGTACATCCCAGAATTCCCTGAACCCTACACTAGTGACATCTAGAGGCATCCATTTTATACAGGAAGTCATCTGCATCAAACCACCAAATAAGGTACTGTATGGTCGATCTTCATCAGGTGGTACAATTTAAAACAATCAGAGCCATACACTTTTTTAGTACCATCTGAACATGATTGGCAAATAAAAAAATCAACAGCCTTGAGCTCTTATCAGACATGACTGGTAAATACAGCAAAATCAAACAGCCTAGAGCTCATGTCAGACATGATTGGCAACTACATCCAAATCAGTAATTTTCATCAGACATGTCTGGCAAGTTGAACTAATCAACATCCCTTTTATATTTTATAGAAACAAAGAAAGGTGTTGCTGACTAAGATGTTAGAAGGGAAAGATAACTTGTCTAAAACGAACATCAAGAAACTGGATTTGGACACTATAGTCAATAGAACAGAGGGGTTCGTAGCCCGTGACTTAGAGAATGTCATCGACCGAGCAATTCATGCTAAATACTTGGTTGACTGGAGTGGTAGGTCAAAACCTGTTGAATTTCTTTTAGATTTAATATGAATTGCTTTTTAAGAAAATCCAAAATATTTTCATCATCTGTTTGAAATCTCTTAATGCAAGAAGCAGTCGAAAGTTGCATACAAATGGTGTAGTGAGTCAGTGACCAATTGCAGAGTGGCTTCAAGTGTTCAAAGTAGATGGTCGAAGATGCTTAACTCTAGCTTCTTTTCATGAAACTTAAATAGTCAAAATTGATAGTTTTCTAAAATTACTTGACCCATAATGCCAAAGTTGTTAAGTTCGACATCAGAAAGGTACAAATCGAAGCCATAAATGTACTTAAATACACATACAAAAATCATGATAATCTCCCCAATTTATCATATATTTCACATCTTGAGCTTTTCTATCTTCCAGCGTGTAGAAGTGGAGAGCTACAACTGACAGATGACGAGTTTTACGTGGCTCTAGAAGGTTTTAAACCAGTTAGTTTCCGTAATGTACCACTCCATACTGCTGAAGATCTTGGCTGGCGTGATGTCGGAGGTCTACAGGACACTAAAGATATCCTCGTGGAAACTTTACAGTGGCCTTCCAAGGTGAGACTAACTAAAGCATTTTTTGTTTATCAGCATTTGTACTGAGGTAGATAGGAGAGAGTTGCTGCATTGGATGGCTACAGGAAACCAAGACTGTTTTGATGGGAAACTCTTTAGTGATTCTCTTTTTTGAGGTCAGATTTAGTAATGACTACAGACCTTTAGTTTATAATGGGTTTTTCAACATCCACTTCCTGTATAGTGTTCACATACCTACTTATGCTTATCAATATCACTTATTTCAGTATCCAGACCTGTTTGCTAGCTGTCCACTAAGACTGCGATCTGGCTTGTGGTCCAACAGACACTATTGAATTAGGGTTTTTTAACTCCCTGTTTCTTTTAAAGTGTCCACATCATTGCTAGTTTGACTAGAAATCTATCTAGAGTGTCCACATACCTTCTACTAATGCTTATCAATATTATTGTTTTCAGTATCCAGACCTGTTTGCGAACTGTCCACTACGTCTGCGAAGTGGATTGTTATTATATGGTCCACCAGGCACCGGAAAGACTCTGATAGCTGGGGTAGTTGCGAAAGAATGTGGCTTGAATTTCATCAGCATTAAGGTAGGTGATTACAGGCAGCATTGTCATCTATTCACCAAAACATCTTTGGCCCCTTTTTAAATGTTAAACTTCACACATGTCCTAATGCATGTTGAACTTCTTAATTTACGATGCCATGTTGCCAGGAATGAATTGGTGCTGGGGCTCAGATTTTATACTCCGAAAATCTGAAGAATTAAATGCCCTGAGAACTCATTTCTGACAATTTTGAGGTGCAAAAAACGTATAAAAATCTATATCTTTTTGATTTTGTACAAGACACTGTAAATGAATCAATCTCTGCTGAACTGAACAAGGTTTTGCTGGGGCTTAATTCTCACTTGCTGTGGCCAGGCCTGGCCCCCACGGGCCCCACCCTAACGACAGGGCTGGGGTAAGTGGGGTTTCATTGCACCATGTAAACTTTCATGTATGCTTGGATATATTTTGAAATCTTTATGCTACTATACTGCAGTCTCTCAAATGGTCGCAATTCTAGACAAGGCATAAAAATCATGCAGTTTTTTCTGGACTTCTTCTAGAATATTGATCATGAATTTTTCAAATGTTTCGATTATTTTTGATAGGGACCTGAAGTTTTAAGTAAATATATTGGAGCCAGTGAGCAAGCTGTAAGAGATCTCTTTATCAGGCAAGTGTTCAAAAATGAAATCTGTTCAATCGTATACTGTATATTTCTGACTATAATGCGCACTTTTATAACGCGCATTTACTTTCACAGTATGAAAAGCCTGTTTTACTTTGTATGCTGTTGGTGTGGAAAATCCCATAGATACCAAAACTTTTAGAGAGTAGGTTATGTTTCTCTCATTGTACACTTCCCACAGTAGGTCTAGTTAAGTGCAGAGCATGAAATATGTGCTCAGTTTGCTAACATATGTATAAATTTCAATATTTGTTACAGAGCTCAATCAGCCAAACCATGTATTTTGTTTTTTGATGAGTTTGATTCTATGGCTCCAAGGTAAGAGTAATTAAAGAAATATTATACCTTTAACACAATATAAATATATACCATATATTTGCTAGTATTATGCGCAGTTTTTCAAACTAAAAAGTGCCTGTGAACTTGAGGGTTGGCATTACTAACAGTGAGAAAAATATCTATGCATACATGTTAAACATTATTACTTTCATAGGCTTCTATCATAAACAAGATTCATTTTGGATCTAGAATATTAATAAAAGTGGAAACAGAATACGGTCAGCCCCCCTCAGAAAAATCAAAATAAGTTCAATTTAGCTGAAGTTGAATATTATTTAGTATAAAGTTATTTTGTAGGCGTGGTCATGATAATACCGGTGTCACAGATAGAGTTGTCAATCAGTTACTAACTCAGTTAGATGGTGTCGAGGGCCTCGATGGTACGTCCCATTTCTTACCTTGGTCAACACTTTAGATTACGAACATAGTTTTTCAGTCTTGAAATATTGGAGGGAGCAGAGTGCATCTCCCTGAAACCAAGTTTTATTTCATTTTCTTAGTTGATTTCTTTGGTTACTGCTCTGTCACCTACAGATTCCTTTTGGCTCATGACTGCCTTAAATTTGAGTCAAGTTTACATACTGTCTACTATAGATATCATCAGTGATGACAAGGCCCTGTGATAGTTGATGATATTATGTATATTTGTTTCTAGCTGTAGCTGATTTTTGTAGTGGCTTCAACTTCACTCAAGGCCCTGTGATAATTTATGCTATTGTGTATATTTGTGTCTAGATATTGTGTATTTTGTATGTTAAACGAACAAGGCCCTGTGATAGTTGTAACTATTGTGTATATTTATTTCTAGGTGTATATGTATTAGCTGCTACTAGTCGTCCTGATTTAATAGATGGTGCCTTACTTAGACCAGGTCGGATTGATAAATGTCTCCATTGTGGACTCCCTACAGAGGTAAGATGGCATTTCACTAGCTGGTCAGTAATTAATGTCAGAGGGGCTGACATGAAAAAAGTGTCTTGTAGTTCTGGCAAGACAATAAACCGAGGCCCTGTGTGCTTCAGGCTGTCGTAGTTTAATATCCCTCGTCAGTCGGAAATTGAAAGAGAGTATTTTTATGGTGCTGTCCTGGAAAAATTTCCTCATTGCACACTGCATAGCACTTCCCATCTCCATTAGCCTTATCAGTTACAGAAAATAGGATGTAAAAATCCATTTCATTTCATTTGCCAGATTTTCCTTTTTTTTTTCTTCAGATTGAAAGAAAAGAAATCCTAGAAGCTTTGACTTATAAAATGCATTTTAACAGAGATGTAGATTTGGGAGAAATTGCAGACAAGTCGGAACATTTCAGCGGTGCCGATCTGAAAGCGGTGCTGTACAACGCTCAGTTGGAAGCGATCCACGAATCCACAGGGTTCAATTTAAAAGACTCTTTCAGCAGCCGTGTGGTCAAAAAGCGGAGCTCTGTAGACAAACCTGTCCTTTCTGATGAGGCCAAATCAGTCATCAAGACTTTCAAAGAAGGTAATTTTGAAATCCAACCCGTCGAATCGGACAAAGACACAATACGAAGAACCGTTTCCATGGAGGGCAAGATGGGAGACACCAAGCCTGAACGACCAATGAGTTTCCATGGTGAAGATTCCATACAGCTGGTGTGCACTAAACCAAAAACGGTTGCCGTGATACCAAGGCTTGATGAAGGATTTAAGGAACTCTCCAATGAGGAGGAAGAAAACTACCTGACGTTGGTATGTCATTTTGAATTATTTTGAAAATATTGTTGGAGATACGCATTAAAGAAGGAGAAAATGGAGACAAATGTTGTTAAGCTAGAGTCAAAAAAACTATATGCATTTACACTTACATATTGATGAAAAATATTGGCCAGCTAGAGTGTGAAAAACTACCTCCATTCTTGGAAAAATCTTTTAATGATCATTGATACATTGGTAAAGACTGTAGCAGTTTGAAGCTAGATAGCTTATTCAAAAACGTTTGTTTTGCATTTATGCTCATGTGAAACCAATTCTGTTTTGCTGTGTGCATCTCTTGCTACAGTTTTGTTTGTATTCTGCTACCACTGTATTGCTTGTAACATACTAGAGCTTTGTTCTTCAGTTAAAAGTAGCAAAGAAACAGGTAGAAGTTATTTGTAGTCTGAAAACTAATATTTATAACAAGAGTTGTTTCCCTTACACCACAATAATAGTGTGTCCCTTTTCTAATCTCTTTACCCCACATTCCCTGGAGAGCTTAGAGGCAATTTAAATAAAAACTGTCTAATTTAATAACTTAAATAAACAATATAATTCCATAATCATTCTCTAGTACATAAACTAGAAATTTTGTTTAAAAATCAAAAATAATCATATAAACTGCCAAAAATTTATAGAATCGAATGCAGCATTTTCTTTATCACTAAAATTTTAACCCTAGTAGCTTCAACTATCTTTTTCTTACGTCACAATGTTTGGGCTTTTTTGCACCGTTCTGATTTTTTAAAGCTTTTTTGATGATTATTGCTGCAGAACGTCGCTTTGGATAGAGTTTTTATGTCATATCCAAATAGTGAGAACTTGGACCTAATTCAGTACGATTTAATTTTAATTTTGATCTAACAGAATTTTTCATAAACAGACATTTAAGCTGTCTAAAGTCTAGAGCAGTAAGCATCAAGTAGTAAAATGCTATTGAAAATACTGCAAGAATAAAAATTAGAGCTCTGGCCAGACATGACTGGCCAATATAACCAATCGATAGACCCTTTCAAAGTACATTCATGCTTTTTCATCAGATTAATTGAATATTCTTTTGTCGCGGCCACAAGAATGATATCCCCTCATTCAATGAAAAAGAAAAGGAAATACAAGGGAGGGCATTATTAATATGAAATTGTTGCTAAATTAATCAGGAAAAATTGGAAACCAAGATTGCCAAGTGCACCCAGACCTAATTTTTAATAATCTGGTCATGACATTTTAAGCCAAAAGACTTGATAATCAAGATCACGACCAAAATGGCCTCTTAATTCTTTAAACTTTGAATTGTTGTTGTCAAAGACATCCAGACATTATTTGTGATATTCTCAGCATGACATTTTTAAGCCTAAAGACTTGATAATCAAGAATTCTTTCAACTGTGAGACTATTTTTTGTCACAGACATCCAGACGTAATTTTTGGTTATCTCAGTTGATGTTTTTAAGCCAAATGACCTGATAATCATAAATATGACCGGATCGCCCTCCGAATTCTTTCAACTATAACTTTTTGATGTTACAAACATCTTGTCTTGACATCCAGACTTAATTTTTAATAATCTCGGTAAAGGTTTTTAAGCTGAAAGACCTGAAAATCAAGACTATGACCAGATTGGCCTGGTTAATCTTTTTATCAGTTGGCATTGTGAAATCTGACGGAATTTCATGGCTTCTAATTCTGGCGCTATTGATCCTGATTATGAGTATTGTCCTGTTTTCTATGGCATCTCCTTTTTGATTCCAGACAGCACCGTTTCATCTTTTCATTTCCTTTCACCCTTTTCATTAACTGCGTCTTTGGTTGCCGATTACAAGTCCAAAAGTTCGTGACCTTATTTGGGAAGTGTCGGAATAGATTATAGACTCCATCTATTTGATATTTTTGATTAAATTAATGGAGAAAGTAAGTCTTGTCTTTTGTATTTTAATCGTAAAAGAGCCAAAATTTGAAAATTGTGGGAGGGGGTCTAAAGTTTATTTGGGGCGTTAATTGGGGGTAATTTATTTTTAGATGACTTCGATTTTTATGGTTGGGGAGGTGTCTAAGAGGAGCAAATTTTTTGCGTTTTTTGGAATAATTATTTGGGATATGGCCTACCTGTATTCAGATGGCAGGTACATAAGGGCAAATATATTTAGCAGATTTGGATTCGCGTAGCTTAATTCAGGCTTTTTTTTCACATTAACTGCAGCAAAAGCCTTTGTTTTTATGATTTTCCAATGAAATATTGATTCCTGATTTTGAAATTCCATTTTCCATATTTCAACATCAAAACAGGTTTTTTCTATTTGCCTGAAAGTTTTTGCAGGTGTCTGGGATTCTTTGCACTGACTTGATATCGTCACAAGAAACATCTTAAAATCATTTTTTATGTAGAATATCTCTGAATATAAAAAAAAATGATTAAAATTGATAGTTTGAATTGCATTTATCAAAAAAAAAAAAAAAATAATAAAAAAAAATCAGGTGAAAAACATTTTTTTTACTGCTGAAGTCTTTGAGTCTAACCAGGAAGTTGTTATTTTTTTTAAATGATGACAAATAGAAGCCATAAATTCTGGATAAGCTGTAAGCTTCTTTCAGCATTCCTTGTTTATTAGTTTGTCTTTAAGGGATACATTCGTTGAAATATTATAAGATTTGATAGATGGTTATAGCTGAAACCGAAAGTAGTAGTAGGCTACAGTTGCAAATATTTAAAGGGGGGCTCAACTATACAAGTCATTTAAGTCGTTTAAATTTATCAGCTACCACCCCACCCCCCCTCCCCCCTAGCTACGGGCTCGCTATCACAATAAATGCTACAGTATCTAGAAGCATTTGTGATAATTTTGTCAAAAAATGCTATTAATAGTGGAATAGCTAGACCTACAGACGTCTGTATTGGAATGGTGCAAATCTATCATTCCAATGTCCTTGATACACATTAAAGATTAGAAGACCTATTTAAGGCAAATAATTTCCATCCACAATCCCTTTAATAGAATGGATGGTTTCAGTGTCTCCGTTACCTATAAAAAGTTAAGAGAACCCTTTACAATCCCTTTAAGGCAAAAATTGGATGACAGTATCCCTTGTATATTAAATCTTTGGTGGACAATATTGACTATTTCCACATTGTGTTGGAGTTGTAGAGATTTGTTAAGGCCTATCAATGTTAGACATCTCTTAATTTCCCTCGAATAAAGCCATGAAAGACCTAATCCACGAACTCTTATCTCCCTAATATTCACTTTTAAATCTTCAGTTATGAAGAGTTCCGACTAGAAAATCGCGAGCTATATTACATGCCTCCTTAAATCTGTTATTAACTGCGAACCTATTCTAATTTTTCCGCTGGACTATTATATTCACTGCGGATCTTCTATTGAAGTACGATTATTGCCGATTTTAAAGAACTCTTCTGTTTTATTAAGAGCGATACTTGCGATACATTTATCCAGAAACGTAACCTCGGGCAACAGCTTTTTCAGACTCTATTCCAATTGTTGAAGAGTTCATATCAATTTGAAAAACAAAGCAAAAGTAGAGTTCCCAATGAGAAATATTCAATTTAGAACACCTGTTTTGAAACTAATACGACAAAATTCCTACGCTGAAAACTTTTTAACGTCAAAATCTATTGATGACAAATAATTCCAATTTCGGCCCATGAAAAGAATAGTAATTGGTGAAAATCACGAAAGATATTTGAAGGAGATTATCGATAACGCAATTTAAGAAAGTGAAAAGATCTGAATGAGATTTTTTTGTCGTCAATTCCGAGCCCAAGGGCATGCTTTTGTATCAGTTCTTCCCCCACTTATCTGAGTTTGTCCTGTCTTCAGAAATTACAAAATGGCTCTTAGTCTTCCATTAAAAAGGCTTTTAGTGGACTTTGTTCTGGCAGACAAAAAAGATTCTATATTTGTTGAAATCAATTAGCATTTATTTTCGAGTGAGATATCGTAACTTTTTTTTATTGATAATACCAATGATACCAAATTTTGTCCTCAAATAGTAGAATTTCAACATTCCCAACTTTTATATTTTTTATCATTGAGTTCTTAATAGCCTGGCGCTGTGAGTCCCGATTGAAAATCCCAACCCTAAACAAAGCTGATATTGAAAATTATCAGCTGATTTTGATATACTAACAATCTGAAGTAGAGAGTATTTAGTGGCGGGGTCAGGCACAGGAAACCTGGGGTACAAATACTGGGCAGACTGACTTAAAGCAGGTGCAAATGTCAAGGTTGAATTTTTGGATGCAGATGTGTTTTAGAAGCACCACGGGAGTAAACATCATGTGAAAGGTTTACGGGTGTTCTCCATCAAGAAATATTTCGGTGGGAGAGGGCATTTTGACCAAATTTGGTTTGGTGCACAGTTGACTACAACTCCTAAACACTTAATAGTTATGATTTCTTCTTGAATTTCAGGTACGTGAGATCACCAGAAGAAATGACGTAATGAAACATGCGAAACCAGAACGGAGAGAGTCGGTACACGCTGGTCGTCAGTCGTCCATGATACAGGTCAATCAAGGTCATCTTCTCAAGGCCGTTAGTGGCATGAGACCCTCTGTATCCGAGGAGGAAAGACGAAAGTATCAACATATGTAAGTTTTTAATTTGTTCAGATATTTTGAAAGAATTTAAA